GATTCTTATCCTCCAAACTTTTGTATGAAAAATAATTGATTTCATAAAATATTCCTGAACTTTGATGTCCAGAATAATACAATGTAATATCATCTGATACCTTCATTGATGTTTTCTTATAACGTACCTTTTTCTAAGGAGGATTCTTATCCTCCTAATTCTTTTTATGGTAATTTTCAGAATAATTACAATGAATAAAACGACCAAATATTTGTACATAATGTGTGTGCACTAGACTCTGAATAGATAGATGAAAATTTTAAGCCTTGGCTTATTTCTAAAACTACAGTTCGGTTAAGTACTAGCATATCTCTCTGCAATTGACCAAAATCAAACCACTAACCTTGACACAAGTATTTATGTCTTCATGAATATCTACAGAGATATCATCCTCATTATTGGAAGCATACCCACCAGCACTACAGTTTTCAGCATATTCAGATCCAACAAACTCTGTAACTTTTGCAGTAGATTTTCCTTTACAATATACCAAGTCCCCCAATACTACTTGTTCAGTTCCTGCCAGAGTAGAATATCATTCAATTTAATAAATGAATATTTTGACTTCAGCTATCATAACAATGATAATTCATGGTAAGGATTGCATGGATTGATTATCAAATGCAGAAAGGAGTCAGGAGATGTGACATTAGAAGTTTATTTCCTGAGAAACAAGGCAAATCTAGAAATTTATTATAAACCACATCTTACCATAGTTTTGCACCCTCTTACTTGCTGCATGGTTCCATAAATAGCTTTGGTAACTATGTATATACCTAAAAAAGGTAATGGAAATATGAAATGAATATTTATAACATCTTTTATTTGTGTTCAAAGCTGGCTTNTTATGGCCATTGTTGCATAACAGGAAGCAGGAAGCGTAAAGCTCAGTTTCAGAGCAATATGAGAATGTTGAGAGCTGGAATCACCAAGAGATTCGCCATGAGGTAATTTTACCTCCTCACCCGCAATCTCCTTAAAATTCTCATCCTTTGGAAAGTCATCAGAACTCTCTAACTCTCGTATGCAATCAAAGGCTTCATCAGTTTTCCCATTTCCTACGTCAAATGGTTTGACAGTATTCTTAGGTGCAGACTTATTAATTTTGTCTAAATCTGTCTCTACCAATTGTTTATTACTGTCGGAGTATTCAAGCAATTCCCTGGAATTGCAGACATCAAAGAAATGAATCAGAGTGAACTACACAAAAAAAAATGTGCTAAAAATACGAGTCTGTGCAATCTGGAGGGTTAACTAAGTAAAATACCATTCAAAGTTAATTGGCTTTTGAAAAACCCTCCGGTAACATCCAGTGATACTAGTTATTGAGAATTCCCTAAAAGAAGTATTAGATCAGGGTAAGAGAACTGGCAGGAGAGAAAAAGAATGAATGTATTAAGTTGAGATTTTTTACATACTCCACTTTGTGCACGCTTTCAGTTAAACTGATTCCATCCTGACCAAGTACGATAAAACAGGTGAATGTATTATAAGGGGGGATAACAAACAACCCATGGAAAAATAACAGTACAGAAGGTTACAAAAAAGCAAGGACAGCAACCCAAACAAAAATGTAAGAACTTGTTCTAAAAGTTCTAAAATTAAACACAGTTCTAAAAGTTTCAGAAAGAGGGAGTCGTCATGCTTAACTATATCTCCACTAAATTGCAGTTCCAAATCAATATCCATTGTCAACTACAGAGTATTAATAATAATCTTATTAACATAAATACAGCAGGCTTTACGGGATAGTGTTCTACAGCATAAACCTGAACAGCAACCTTGTGAGTTACCCCGTCATCAAATAAAGTCATTTTCTCAAGTACTGTCAAATGCATAGCAATTAATATAACCTTGAAGTATTTTTTACAAGTAAATAGATAGATCTACTCCTACATCTTCTTTACGATAATTCTTACGTGTAAGAGATAGGAAGAGTGGGATAAGGTGGGTAATTTCTTAGTGAGATAGTAAGAAAAAATTAATTACAAAATATTTGACCCAGCCTGAACTTCTGAGATCTCACTCCTAATTAAATGCGTAAAATTCAGGATATTGAAACTTGAAAGTACGAGGGTCAAAATTGATACTTACTTTTTTTGTTAAATCTTCATAAACATTGGCAATATTATTGGTTGGATATTTTACCCGTGAACTGCAAGATAACAAATACACAAATTTCAGAATGATCACTCCCCCAAAAATAAATAAATAAACAAATAAAATAGAAGAAGAAGAAAGACAATGGAAAAATAAAGCATTGGTTGAGGATTTGAGTTGTCAGAATCAGAGAACCTGACCACTATTAGCCAATCATGCTTACCCTGGCATAGGAAGGATGACATCATCAATTGTGTAGTATCCAGAATTAAGATCTTCAGCATCAACAACCTGTCACACGAAGTAAACCCACTTTAGAACATCATTCGCACAACTTCTGTTGTTCCTTGTTGAGTAATTCTTGTTTGTTCCAATTAATAAATTATCCTTCCCTTAGTTGTACTTCATCTCATTTTTCCCAAATGAAAATCTTCAATTTTAAAAAATAGATTTTACACTTTACCGCCTGCTAATGAAGGTAGAAACCAAGTTCCTCGACATAGAATTATGCCCATATGGAATTAATCCCTTCATTTGAGAAAAAAAATGGTTCCCTATAGTTTTCACTAAAGAAATTTAACACAAAATTTCTGAATAATTATTGATTTCCTCAAATGCTCAGAGTCACTTCCCACGTTGACAGTTAATATATACAAACATAAACATGATACCAATTTTATAACTGTTTTTTATGAACACAATTTTTGTATCATTTTAGATTAGTAGGATGACACTATAATAACTACTATTTACTGTGATAACTACTTTTTATTTCAGAAATAACTTCTTGAAGATAAAACACCTAAGAATAAGATACGCATCCTAAAAAGATAAGATAACATATAATATAATCAAGATAAAATTGGACACTTTTCATATATTCTAACACTTGTAACAATTATATTTTAGAAAAAGAAAAAATATAATATGGTTTCGCCAAACAAGGTGGCAAAAGTGAAAAGGAAACTCCAAGATACTGGTGATAAGACGAGAACCTCTACGACTGATAAATACAAAAGGGGTAAAGTCATACTGTGAGATTACAAAATGGTAAAGTTATAGACACATATAAGCACAAAAGGCCTGCACCATGTAATTAAGAAGCTCCCATTGCTCTTGTGTACTTCATATAGCTGTTTAATAGAACTCTTAGTTAGGAATTTCAGAAGACTAGGGGTGTGATCCAGGTTTTAGCAGAACGGACACAATGAAATTTTGATAGAGTGATCTACGACAAATATTAGAAGGCAAAATGCTATCTACCTTACTCCGGTGCATTTTGCAAAAAGTAAATTCTTGATTCTTTAAAAATTACAATCGGATAAGATTAGAGCTTGGCAACAAGTAACGGTAAAAACAGTTTTCTACAGGGGTTTGTCTTATAGACGGACAAATTGGGTAGCTTTACTTCCATAAAAAAATCTTAGTATTTTAATAAATAAAATGAAAGAGAGAATGACAGTTAACAATGTATTACGTCATTGATAGTTTGATGTTCCTGAAAACCTAGTGTACTTATTTATACCACAAAAATAGATCAAGTGCAAGTATTACTGGCACAAGCCCAAGGCTAACAAGACTAATTCTTAATATCTTCTAACAGCTTCATTGATGTTTTCTTTTTTTGCGTACTTTTTCTTCTTGTTTCTTTTTTTCTCTTTTTTTCCTTTTTAAGGAGGATTCTTATCCTCCAAACTTTTGTATGAAAAATAATTGATTTCATAAAATATTCCTGAACTTTGATGTCCAGAATAATACAATGTAATATCATCTGACACCTTCATTGATGTTTTCTTATAACGTACCTTTTTCTAAGGAGGATTCTTATCCTCCTAATTCTTTTTATGGTAATTTTCAGAATAATTACAATGAATAAAACGACCAAATATTTGTACATAATGTGTGTGCACTAGACTCTGAATAGATAGATGAAAATTTTAAGCCATGGCTTATTTCTAAAACTACAGTTCGGTTAAGTACTAGCATATCTCTCTGCAAATGACCAAAATCAAACCACTAACCTTGACACAAGTATTTATGTCTTCATGAATATCTACAGAGATATCATCCTCATTATTGGAAGCATACCCACCAGCACTACAGTCTTCAGCATATTCAGATCCAACAAACTCTGTAACTTTTGCAGTAGAATTTCCTTTACAATATACCAAGTCCCCCAATACTACTTGTTCAGTTCCTGCCAGAGAAGAATATCATTCAATTTAATAAATGAATATTTTGACTTCAGCTATCATAACAATGATAATTCATGGTAAGGATTGCATGGAATGAGTATCAAATGCAGAAAGGAGTCAGGAGATGTGACATTAGAAGTTTATTTCCTGAGAAACAAGGCAAATCTAGAAATTTATTATAAACCACAGCTTACCATAGTTTTGCACCCTCTTACTTGCCGCATGGTTCCATAAATAGCTTTGGTAACTATGTATATACCTAAAAAAGGTAATGGAAATATGAAATGAATATTTATAACATCTTTTATTTGTGTTCAAAGCTGGCTTGTCTTTGCAAATGGAACTACATCACGATGTTTAGAGACATAATTTAGAAAAGGAAAGGAACTGTGTAGCTGAGTGAGTGTTACTTAGAAAGGAGAGATACAAAAAGGTATTTATATACCTGATTAAAACTAGCTTAAGTACCTAGATACAGCAGTCATGGTGACAGCTGTAAAACTAAAGCTCTAACTGTACCCGTATAACCAACTGAGACTCGACAATAGTTCTGAGTACAATACTCAGAACAAAAGAAAAATCATCAACAAATAGACAGCATAAACAACCCACTTTAAAGCTAAAAGCTTGTGCAAGAAATTCTTTTGCATCTTCCTAGCTTTCAAATTTTACTCATTTGGATTTGTGTTAACTGTTTTTCTATACATGAAAATCCTTCCTCCTTAGCTGTATACGGTGTCAAAGCAGAGATTTAGGACCCGTTTATTACAGATTAAAACAATTATTCTAATGTAAAATCATTCAGTGATAATTTATGTTTGTTTAGAATCATAAAAAACTCACTTTAAGAAAACAAGTGGTTTTTATGAGAAGCCAATAGAAATAGCTTCTCCTTTTAATTAAATTTTAGATTACTTTCTGTTAGGGATGGAGAGTTTACGAGTGAAGGAATAAAACATTAAATGCCCAACTGCCTTAACTACCTTAGCAGTTAGGAAGAGCGGGGTTATTGGTTGTATAAATAGCAAATAATCAATTGTAGTGGGGGGTCGATTGTTTGATTGTAGTCTAACAGGGTTTGTCATCCTGAGGAGGGAGGTTAGGCTCTCTAGAGGGAGGTTATGCTCCCAAACTCAGTCCTTGTAAAGAGATTCGTTTACGGTGAATAATAGCAAAACTCATTCTTTCATTTCTGTTTCTATCTTTTGAGTGTTTTCTTTTTAGGTTCCAAACCCAGGAACCTAACACTTTCATTTTCTAATTATTTTGAAAAACTAAAACAATTGCAAGAAAAAAATTTAGAGGTAGTCATTTAAAAAAAAGTGACTGTTTCCTTAAATAAACTAAAACAAACTGGCCCCTTAGTACTAAAATGACCAATATTATTTCATAATAAAAAACACGTGCACTTGTCAACTCTGTTTCATCAAATAACACTGAATGGCTGATGAGCTGGCATGGAAGTTTAGAACTCACTAGTGTACGAGGAGAGCAAAACAAATGTACACCCCAACATAAAATAGACATTGGCAATAAACTTCATAGAATTCCCAATAGTAACAACACTACAGCCTTTTTCATCACATTTCTATTGCAAGTAAGGAAATTAATGTTGCTATGGCATGCCTGCAGCGTGTAGTCTGCAACATGCAAAAATCATGGAGCACGTTTGGTTTTTGATCAGTATATGCCCAGAAAAGGCTTTTCAGCGAAATGTTTACCCTCGATAATTTTGATTGCAAGTCTTTCTAGAAACAAAATAAGATAATTCGAAGCTAAAGAGAATATGTGAATTTTCACATAAAGTATGTCAAATTCAAAGTCTGGAATAGGTTTATATTGGAACGTAGAGAAAGAAAAATTAGATCTGCTTAAGAAAACATTTTTTATTCTTCATGCAAGAACAGTTAAAATAGAAGCATACCACTATCACTATACAGTGTCCAAAGAAAAAAAAATCATGGAATTCTGTAACACCAGATGATGACACTGAAGAATAAAAATTAACTTTGAAAACGAAGAAAATCACTAGCAGTAAAAGACAACGCATCACCACTTTAGCCAGATAATAAATATCATAAAATAATTATAACTCACAACATTCTCAGAGTCCTTGGAATGCTTTTCAAAGCCTGCAAATAATTTCCAGGAGACGTCTTTAATGATTGCAGCTGCAGAAGTTTTGATGACACAATCGAGGTTACGACGTATCATACAAGGATAAATACAGTGAGTAAACAAAAAAAATAGATTCAAACTATCACTTTTATTTGAAGCTTACCACAGCCCTTTCAGCAACTAAATATCGAGGCAACTGCTTAAGTGTCCCAACAACATCGTTACTTTCTTTATAGTATTTACGTGCCTTGGCTATTGCAATTCTCTGTATCTAGATAACATTGTTATGACGAACAACAGTAATCAAAATGCTCTTTTTAACTATCAGCAGCACAATTATTTGATTAATCATCTAGACATTATCCATTATATGTAATAATAGAAACAATGAAAAGGATATCTCCTTCTCTTGGATCAAGAATCATGTCAACAGCAAGTTTCCATTCCCCTCGAAGTAATGCACCTCCAATAAGGTGAGTTGGCAAAGAACCACTTCCAAAACGCTGACAGTGAGCACATTCAGACAAATAAGTTACTTGCAAAGCAAAAATGAAAAATAAATTAAGTCTTACAATAGACAGTTTACTAGAAATGAACTACGCCTAGTTCACTTTCAAAAGTTAAAGCAAGGGAAGGATTGCCAAGTCTAATGAGGAATGTTATAGCCATATTATTTCTAGTCCAATTTGGGACATCTTAACACAGTCTAAATCAGCATTTGTTACTTTATGAAATGCTGCAAAACTAAGCAAAACCACAGAGACAATTGTAAAATAAGATTTTACATTTTAATGCAATTTTAGACTTACAACAAAAAATTTAAAAGAAAATTTTCTCTTCAAGAAACAGGGAATATGAAGCTGGGTAACTTTTCCAACATGTTTAAGCTTCTTATGTCTTTAATTTATGCATCATAATAATAATCTTTAAGACTATGCATGTATGTCATCCCCAAAGAAATAAAATAAAACATAAGTTTGTATTACAAATACACAGAGCAGGCATATGTTGGACACAACGAAACTTCAAGAGGTTAGAAAAGCAATATGCTCACATCCAAGATTTAATTTTTCCTGACTCTTACAGATATAGGAAAATGGGAAAAATGATAAATAGCAGTAACTGATTAATGATGATTTAATAATCTAATGGGTTCACACAGCATCCTACTGCATATGTCAGTTCTGAATAGTATACAGGTAAGGCCACATGCTATCATAGAACATACCCCCCAGGCTTGTTCCGCAAGTTTAGCTCTAAACTTGCACAAGGTAGTTATCCCAAGCGCATGTCATTGAAACAAAATTATGATAGAACAAATAAGAGAGGAAAAATTAAAGTACCTGTAGACCAAAGTAGTTAATGAAGCCAAGCCTTCCCAAGGCATCTGCAGATGTTTTTATGATATCTTCAGAATCTGAAACAATACCTCTGAGAAAATATGTCAATGCTATGATACAAATAAAAAGCCTCAATTACATTAACAATTATAAATAACCTTAACTTCAAAGGATACTTATTTAACATAGGGAAAATAAATTTCATGTATAAGTAACACCCTCACCGCAGAGTAATTGTAAATCGATTTCCCATGAGCTGGCCAAGACAAAGTCCTTCCTTAACATAACTGGACAATAAGTACACTTATAGCTATCATTCCACAAAAACCAGTTAAATAAGATTGTCAACTGTTCAAAATTCAATAACCTTACCAGAAATCACCCAATTTAATACCAAACAAGCGCTTGTTAAGTTAAGCAAGCCGACTTGCTCGCTGCTTGTAAACAGTAACCTAGAATCAAAACAATTAATAAACCAGTTTTACTATTTATCTATAGATGAACACAGGTACTAATTCTGGAAAGTGAAGAAATGAAAGAATGCTTGATGTAAAGTAAAAAAGAATGCAACAACTTATCACCCTTTGTGTTGTGACAGCACGCTTGTCCTTCGTACCAGCAAATCCAAATGATTTTGGCTGTCAATTAATTATCAATCAGTTAAAACAGAAAGGCTATTCATAAATCAATAGTAATATTAGCACACTGCATTTATTTAATGTTCCTAAATCTCCAGGTTGAAAAGAAAAAGGTTGTACAGAGGCATGATACATTTATAAACAATTATAAATATAT